AGGGAAGAGGTTGTCATGGCCCTGGGCCCAGCCTGCCATGTTCAAAAAAGCATAGTTTTATGATTTCTAACCTGAATTGGATCTATTGCCAGGAAGGCAATGGTTATCTAGGGTGCGGCAGTGGGAAAGAGGATGTAGAGATGGCTTCCTGTCATCTAAATACATTAGTATTTTGCCTCCTCTTTGCCACTGCCAAGTTCCTGCAGTTGTTCCACTGGCAAGTGCTTAGATTGCTTTTAATTTGTTTGGTTTTTTGATGAAGCCATATTGGGAACCTTAGTCCACTCCTCTGCCCTTGCATCCATTTTATCCCTTGTACGTTTTTGAAAACTGTTACAGTGCAGAACAGCAGTGATGGCACAGGACTGAATTACAGAAGTCATTTGAAGGTAGTTTTAGGTCCTACAGTTTGAAGCCTGTAAATCTGTTAAGAGTTTGCTTTTGGTTTTACATACCTTGAAAACACAGTACAAGAAAAGGGGATTTTCCAGTCTTGGCTGTTTTGTTTCCCTCATCTGAGTACGAAGGTATCTAAAAAAATGGTGGTGAGGCCTTAAGTTCCCCAGGTGACTGTTACACTGTCATCGTTCTGGTGTTAGGTTTTGATCTTCACTGTACAGGTATGGTTACCGGGGAGCAGATGTGGGGGACTGGTGTGGATTTACTTGTAATGACTGGTTGGGGGATTTTTGTCAACTTTCTCAAATAAAATTTCTTTGGGGAAAAACAACCCACCTCACCTTGTTGCTGTGAGTATTGTCTTCTCTGTGTGTGTAGCCTCAGACCGCTGTTTCCTGCAAGCTGACCTATCGCAGCAAGTACATAGACTCCCCACAAGCCTTTAGGTTTTTCTAGCAACAGTTAATTCCTAAAGAATTTGAAAATTTCAGGCTTGGGAATGGTGCACAGACTTCTCTGAGGAGTGGGACCAACACAATAAGTGAGGTGTCCTAATACAGGTTGCCATTTTTTTGGCTTTTTCCACTCTTCTTAATTATATCACTGTGTGGAGCAGTTTTGAGGCTCAGAGTGAAACAGTGCCCTAGAATACAAGATCCAGTTTTTCGCCATCAGTTCCCGTGTAAAATTTAGTACATTAAGGCAAATATAAGTACTTTGAGTTTTGTACTTCAGAGGAAATTTTAAGTCCTTGCAAAGATGAGTTGGTCCTGTGAGAGTGAGTGGCAGATACTGAAGAGAGTGGTTAGGTATTTACTGAACTGCTGTCAGATCTCTGCTGACCCTGCAAGCCTTTTGTCATGCAGAAGCCAAGTGAGATATGCCACATGACAGGACTGGGGGCACACAAATGCTACGTAACTGGTTAGTATTACCGGGGAGAATTTCAAGAAGGGAAATTCCCAGATCTCTGGATAATGATTAGCCTCTTCCAAGTTCTTTCCTGGATGAATATTTAAGTATGTCAAACAGCTGCTCTCATGTGGTAGGTTGGTGGTGGGTCTGGGCTGTTCTACAGCACTATGGATGCAGAGCTGGTTTCTCCATTCCATTTCACTTCTGGGAAATGGGCTAAAGTTGAGCTGTTGCAGATACTTGGGTCTGAGCCCATCTCCGCGTGTGACAGATGCATCGCTGGTGAATCTATAATCGCCTGTAGCAAACTGCATCAGACATTTCCAGCCTCTTCCACCCACTTGTCAATGTGACTAACGATTAAATTATCACAGTACTTAACGCAGCACGTGAGCATTCCTGAGTAAGGTTTATCTTCTGTTCCCCCTCCTGCTCTGCTAGCGTAGGCTGCACCCTGTGCGGTGTGCCCACCACAGCTGCTGTTTGTGTGCATGCATGGGAGAAGAGCATTTTACATGCTCTCTTGCTCATTTTTTACAGGCTGCTCAGGTATGTGAGGAGTAACCCAAGTGCACATCTGTGTTGTCTAACTGGCAGATCAGAGATGTTTGACTCAAACTAGTTTGGCAACTGGTTGTCAAGATCATGAGGGGATTCCTGCCTTTACCTTTCATCAGGTCTTATGGCAGAGGTTTGGGAAGTAGTGTTGTGGCCTCTCTCTACCCCTGCCAGTTCATGTGATGTATTACTGTCTCACATCTTTAGTTGTGTACCAATGCTGTGCTTGTCTTTCAGATGCCTGAGATGGCCATGCCTTTAGCGAACAAAGTCTTTGGGAAATGAACTTCTTGTATGTTGAAGGTAGCTTGTTGGGAAAGAGAGACCACAAACCTGAAATGGATAAATTGTAGAGTCATCAAGGCTGGAGGGGACCTCTAATATCAAGTCCAACCATCAGCCTGCCACTCTGCTGTAACCCCTCCAGTGTCAGATCCAGATGCCTCTTAAACACTTCAAGGGATGGTGACTCCACCACCTCCCTGGGCAACCTATTCCAGTGCCTGACCACCCTAACAGGGAAAACATTTTTCCTAACATCTAATCTGAATCTCCCCTCTCTCAGCTTATGACCATTCCCTCTAGTCCTCTCACTGCAGATATGGCAGGAGACCATCCCCCACCTCTCTACAACCCCCTTTCAGGTAGTTGTAGAGAGCCCTGAGGTCAACCCTGAGCTGCCTCTCGTCAAGGCTAAACAAACACAATTCGCTCATCCCTTCCTCATACAGCATGATTTCCAGACCTTTTATGATTCCAATGGGATGAGGTTTAACAAGGCCAAGTGCTGGGAAGTGATTCTTCCCCTGTACTTGGTGCTGGTGAGGCCACACCTTGAATACTGTGTACAGTTCTGTGCCTCTCAGTTCAGGAAGGATATTGAGGTGCTGGAGCAGGTCCAGAGAAGAGCAACGAGGCTGGTGAAGGGACTTGAGCACAAGTGCTATGAGGAGAGGCTGAGGGAGCTGGGGTTGTTTAGCCTGGAGAAGAGGAGGCTCAAGGGGGAACCTTATCACTCTCCACAACTGCCTGAAAGGAGGTTGTAGTCAGGTGGGGGTTGGTCTCTTCTCCCAGGCAAGAGGGCACAGACTCAAGCTCTGCTAGGGGAGGTTTAGGTTAGCTATTAGGAAGAGATTTTTTATGGAGACAGTAATCAGGCATTGGAATGGGCTGCCCAAGGAGGTGGTGGATTCACCTGGAGGTTTTCAAGGTAAGACTGGATGTGGCACTTAGTGCCATGATCTAGTAACCACCATAGACTCAATGATCTTTGAGGTCTTTTCCAACCTGTCTGATTCTATGATTCTATGTGTTTCCAGCACTTCATATCTATTGTGTAGGGGAATGTGGGGAGGGGAGGGAGGCTGGGGAGGGGATTCTCCTGCTACCCCGAATCTTTCAGAGGAGGAAGAAAGCTAGGCCTGGTGAAGACTGCAGGAGTTCAGCATTGGTAGTACTGTTTTGCTGCCCCTTCTCCACTTGAAAATGTTGTCAGGCTTGTGCTTGTTCTGCTGCATGAGGTGGGGTAGTGGCTCTGGCAGACCAGAGGCAGGTCACCTTTCTCTGAGAAGGGTGGAAGGAGCAGAGCATTTAGTAAACCTGCCTGTTGCCTTTTCTTGGACTTTTTTGTAAACCTGAAACAGGTGAGGCCAAACTTTTGCTGCAGCACTAAAACACTTGTATTTACTCAGCAGTGTTTGTAGGAAGCCAGTTTTGCTTTGCACTGGAAGTCTATTGCACTGGCAGGAATTAGGAGTTGCTTTGTTTCAGCCACAGCTGCAGTGTCTTAAACTTTCTGCAAGATGGTGGTAACAGATTCCTGTTTTCTCCTTCTGTTGCCAGAGGTCCGTGTGGTTTATCACCTTAAACTCAATGCACTAGCTTGTGCACTTCCAGCTCACTGACATAGCCTGCCAGATGACCCATGATCCCCAGATGTCCATCCCAGTGATCTCTGCTGTGAGGATCTTTGGTTTAGCTCATGTTTGGAGAAAGCTGGTGTATCCTGAAGAACTCTTCTGACTTGCTGTATTTCAGTTTTGGAAATAAAATGTACATGTTGAATAACTTCCTCTGGGGGCATGTAACCCCAGAAAAGGCAATGATGGGACCATGCTCACCTTGCTTTGTCTCACTTCTGTGATATCCTCTCACTTCCATTCATAGCTGGTGATATTCCCAAGGTACCTTTCCCTTGCATGTAATAAACTGCACCAAGATGGTATGTTGGAATTGTAATGATATGAACTTGTTTTTTCTTGGTTATTTGGTGGGTGTTGTTCCTACAGCTGCCACAGAGACGAGGTAAGCAGAGGAAAGGCCGTGCTTGTGTTTCCCAGCTATATCCCATTGCAGTTCTGCTTTGCTCTGCTGCATTTTTACCCTCCAGTGTTTTCTTGCCCATAGCAACTGCTCAGGCTTTTATTTCCCCCAAATATACTTTGTTTGGACAATCTTCCCTCAGACATAAGGTATTTGCTATACATGTTTAACTGGATTCTCATGGTGTTGCCTTAGTTATAATTAACCATGTAGATGCCTTGTCACTTCTTCCTTCTCAGTGTAGCCTGCTCTTTCCTTGTCTTGGTAATATGATCAATGTACTGTCTTGACTCTGAAAACCATGAATGACATCTTTGAACTTTGAACATTTGGTTTAAATGGCAGTTTTCCT